CTTCCAGAGGACTAGGATTTCACCCAGCCAAAATTTCTTTAAATTTAAAGATAAATATTTTGAACCCTTTCTGAGGTTTCTTTTTTTTTTTTTTGCAGTTTTTGGCCAGGGCTTGGTTTGAACCTGCCACCTCCAGCTTATGGGGCTGGCGCTCTACACCTTTGAGCCACAGGCGCTGCCCACCTTTTTTGAGTTCTTATTTATTGTTAAAATGTTCTGTCACAAGTAAAGCTCAGTTAAATATTCATCTGCTATTCATAAGTATTCATCTAAACTTTACATTGCCATGTCCCTAATACCTAGAGTACTGCCTAGAACACCTAATACTCAGAAAATATTTTTGCTTTATTGAATTAATCTGTAATTTATAATTTTAAGCTTTTGAAAATATACAAAAGCGTGTAATCCATTTTACATTCCTTTTGATATATAATGTGAAGAGAAGGTTTTTTCTCCCTCCTCTGGTCGGTTTTCCCTTCCCTCTTCCTGGATAATCCTTTAGCCCCCTCTTTGTTTGCGAGGCCTCTGTGTTGGAAGTTACAGTGAAAGTAAAGACTGAGGGAGGGTACACCTACCTGGGCTGTGAGCTTAGGCCTCACTGCTTTTTAGTTTCCCTTCATCCAGAGAGATAATAAATGCTTGCCTTGAAGGGCTGTTGTAGGATTAAAGGTAGTAAGTCAAGTTCTTGGCGTAATGTATACAAAGTAATCAGAAAACAAGAGTTTTTACTCCTGTTTATTAAGCCGTTTAATACACACACAACTTCTGTGTTACTTGTCCTAGTCTATTGATTTCTCTGCATATGTTACATTGTTAGCATTTTTTAAAAAATACGGTTTTTTGTTTTGCTTTTGTTAACTTTTATTTGATGTGTCTGTCAATCACTGGTTAGTTCTCATCCACGTGGGCTATCTGTAGATTTTCGAAAGTGGTAACAGGTCCATAGGTAACCAAAGCACAGAGCTTGGTTGGTGAAGCTTCATCGTTGTTACGTTTTCTGGTCAACCGCACACGGCTACACTATGGGACATTTCTGACCCCTTTGGCCCAGACAGCTTTGTTGAGCCTGGTATCAGTGCACACATCTGGAGTCCCCATCTGTTTAATGGCAGATTTCTGGATCTCTTTGAGTGTCCGAGGGGCATGCTTCTTGAAGCCCACTCCGTGGATGTGTTTGTGAGTGTTGACGGTGTACTTCATTAATGGGCTAATTGCAGACCGACCCTTCTTGTTGACCTTCTTTGTAGGAGCCGTTCCGCCAGGTCCAAGTTGGAAAGCTAAAAGATAGTACTTAATATATTTAATATAGGTAGTACAAGTCTTCAAACATTACAACTTTTACTTTATCTCTTCAAAGCTTTGTTTTTTAAAAAGTGGTTATTACCTCTTATTCTTCTTGGTAAATATTAGAGTAATTGTTCAAAAGAAAAGTTTGTGTTATAATTTGAATTTCATTGAACCCATAGGTTAATTTGGAAGAATTGACCTCTTTGCACTGTTTAGTCACCCATCCAGTCCCATGATTTTCACTTCAGTGACTTTTTCTTCCAGATTTTTTTTCGTATCTCTTTAGAGTTATTAGCTTTTGCTTATAGGTCTGACATTTCTTATTAAGATTATTCTCTGTGTGCTATATTTTTAATCTATCTAAAATTGAATCTCTCCATCTTAAGGGGCTGTGGAAGGTATACATGAAAGCTATTAATTTTTATATATTGTCTTACAACATAATCACTTCACATAGTTATCTTATTCTGATATTTTGAATTGATTATTCAACAAATTGATTATTAGTTATTTGGCTAGAAATTTATGAACTGTGAAATTATGGAGATGATTATGACTGTTGCTATTTTGTATCTGATATTCATGGGATTTTGTCTATTATATTACCCTTCAGGAAGTTGGCTTTCAGTCTAAATAGATATTCTTTAATAAGTTAATAAGAATATATTCCTGTCTCATTTTAATCTGTAACTATAGAATAAATGGTTCTGAAAATTTGTTTTCTACATTTTGGGTTACTTGAAAATATCGTCATTATTATTTTTTGTCTTATAGGATGTTCAGCTAAAAGTAAAAACCTATTTGCTGGGAACTGATTTGTCTATATTCAAATATGATGACTTCATCTTTGTTTTGGATATAATCAGCAGGTAGTATTTGAGATCTTACTCTTTAGTTTGAGTCTTTCAACCACTGTAATCAAAGAAGTCATGAATTAGTGAGTTAGTTATGTATAACTTTATAAAAAAGAGACATTATACATCCATTGCCTAATTGCTGCTGGATTTGTGTGTTTAAGTATTTCTGCCCTTTGGATATTTGTAAACCAACATGGATTTTGTGATATTTAGTATTTATTCAAATATTCAAATTTTTATAATTTGTTAGAAAGAAAACCTGGGCTTCTTGTTCTCTGTAAGGATGTTACTTAAATTTGCATAAACCTTTCTATCAAACTAGGTTGATGCAAGTTGGAGAAGAATTTTGCGGTAGCAAGTCTGAAGTTTTGCAAGAGTCCATTAGAAAACAAAGTGTCAATTATTTTAAGAACTACCATAGGTAAGAACTCTAATAAAATATGACTAGACTTATTTAGGTAATGAGAATACTTTGTTCTCTTGTTTAATCTTCTGGCATTAATTGAATTAAAACAGTTAACTTTTGAATTTGAATGAATGTGTTCTTTCTAGCTCTTTTTAGCATGGCTAATTTTTTTTATTAACCAAAATTATAATAAAATGTTCTCATTACTTATTCATTGTACATCTTAATCTTTATTTTGTGGGGCTCAAAATGTTGAACTAATTTCTTTCTGAGTGAAAGATGATGATTAATTAGATTAGGGTTTATGTAAAGAATTTGGTCACTGTTCATGCCTGCATATGTGCTGTATGAACTAGTAAGGAGAGGAGTGCAGTAGTGGTAGCACTCGCTGAAGGGGTGCCCCAGAGCATCTGTGCTTTTCTTTTTTGAGACAGAGTCTTAGTTTGTCAGCCTCAGTAGAGTGCCGTAGTGTGATAGCAACCTCAAACTCCTGGGCTTAAGCAATTCTCTTGCCTCAGCCTGCCAAGTAGCTGGAACTACAGGTGTCCACCACACCACCTGGCTATTTTTAGAACCAAGGTCTCACTCTGGCTCAGCTGGTCTCGAACCTGTGAGCTCAGGCAATCCACCTGCCTCGGCCTCCCAGAGTGCTAGGATCATAGGCATGAACCACTGCACCTGACCCAAGAGCATCTGTGTTTTAAGAGTAAGAAGGCTTCTAGAGGAGAGGATATGATATTTAGAATGTAGCTATAAAGACAGGGTTGTGTACTACTATGTTGCATTACAAAACAGACATTACTAACTTTAAGAAAGGTGACTAGGAATTATTTTGGTTGTGGCGAAAGGTGGGAAAGAATGTTTATATAGCAATGTGGTTACATGCTTAAAGTGGCTTTAAATCGAAAAAAGAAGAGACAAACATTTATTATACCTCTCTTGATATAAGCCAGACACTGAGCTTGACTTACATCTCAACCTTGAGATGTATACCTTGAGTTATATCTCACTTTTTATTCTGAACTTTTACTTTTTATAGTTAAGTTTTGATTTTGTTATTTGGTGCCAGAGGGAGTCAGAATTTGAAATTCTGACTTTCTCCTTGTTCATAACCAACACCTGCTTACAGTGGTGTGTGCTGTATCAGAAGAGAGATTGTTGAACATCAAACCTTTGATTATTAAATATATTTAAATACAGTTTGTCGCTGTTAATTTTAAACTATTAAGTAAATTGTTTTGAAAGATTTAAATTGAACCTGTATCAAAGCAGAGACTTTTGAGTTTTATAATTCAATGAAGAGGATATTTTAAAAATGTAAAAAACAAAAAAGATTTAGTTGAATCAGCCACAGGGAAATAGTGTTAAGGAAAGAACATGAAACCCCAATATTGCCTTCGTTTATTATTTCATTTTCTGCTAAAACTTAAGTGTTGGCTAGACCTATGAACAGAAGGCCTGACCTATGAACATTGCTAGGAAGAAGGGGTAGGGGAAAGAAACCACAAGACACCAGGAGCCACACCCTCCCCGCCGGGACCAGTGTGAAGGAAGGCCAGATGGCTGTCTCCCATTGATTGCTTTATGTCCAGAAAGACAATGAAGAGACCTTTTGGTGTTCCTAGGGTCGGGGAGGTGTATGCAATGTTAAAACACTATTTTATTCAGTGGGCTTCATTCTGCTTACTACTTCACTTACTGTCAAAAGGACTTTGTCATCTGTGACAGCTAGCTACGAATGTTTTAGACTCTCACCAGAATGTGGATTTGTCACAGACGTTCACCTTAATGAAATTAGAAAATACAGAAATGAAAGTATTTAAATATATCCCAAACACTCAGCATTTTAAAGGACTTCTCTTAGAAACATTTGTGAAACTTGTTTCCCATTGAGGCTGTGTACCGTAGAAGAGAGCTGAGGTGGGTAATGGTGGACTCAGGTTCTTGTCCCATTTCTTTTGCTGGTAGCTGGCTCTTGACTGAGCAAATCATTTAACTTCTCTGGGCTTAGGTTCCATCCATTATAAAGTGAGATGGCTAGATTGAAAGGTCTTCACAAATGTTGCCTGCCCATCTTTCCCTTTCGTTCTTGTTACTGTTGTCTATTGTAAAAATTGAAGCAGGTTAAATAGTAAAGATTTAATTATTTCTTAGTATTCTCTTTTCTCAGTGTTTAAAAAGAAGCTTAGCCAGTCTAGCTTTTATTCTGGATATAGTAATCGTTTCTCTAACAGCTGTTATTTGGAAAATGATAGTGGAATTCACTTGGTAAATTTGATGCCAGTGGAATTATTAATGAAGAAGGGAGAAGTCACCTATGTTTTTTAGTGAGAAAAACTCTCTTCTTGCCTTAAAACAATTTGTATGCCCCTGTTAACATAAATTCAAAATATATACAGCAAAAATATTCACAGTTAAAAGGTATAGTTAACTCCATTATAATAGCTGGAAATTTTTATATGCCGCTTTCAGTAATGAATTGAGAGTACAAACAGATAAAAAATGATGTATGTTTGACCAAGAGATTTACTAAAATTTGCCTAATTGACACACACACAAACCACTTGACAGCTCCAGAATACAGATGCTTTTAAAGGACATAGGAAAGTTTATCAAAATTGGTATAATCTGCTGGGCTAAAAGCAAGTTCTTAAAATATCAAAGTATTAAAAAATTCTGTGGTTAAAGTATATTCTCTAAGCATAGTAGAATTAAACTAGAAATAAATAACAGAGATAACTAGAAACTCTACCAGTTTTGGGAAATTAAACAACCTAGTTCAAGAAGAAATCATACAGAAAATTAAAAGATACTAATATTGGTAACTGAGTAATAGTAAAAGTATGGTATAAAGTTAAAAGCTAAAGCAAAGAGATGAATTTTTAGCTTTAAATTTTTTTTTTGAAAAGAAAAAAAGTTTAAAAGTAAGTGCTGTGAACTTTTATTCCAGAAGTTACAAAAGGACAGCAAATCAAACCAAGAGACGTAAAGGGGAGAAAATTTTAAGAGCAGAAGACAATAAAAGAAAAAGCAAATATATAATAGAAATCTCTAAAGCTACTAGCAAGACTGGGCAAGAAAAAGAAAGAGAACAGATTATCAATATCAGCAGTTGAAAAAGAGATATCCATAGGTACTTCCAGACTTTAAAATGATAATATGTAAAGTAAGACAGATGGTATAACCAAATGTATTTAGCTGGCAAAATAAAATATAGAAACCATGAATTCTTTTATGTGTTTTAAAGAAATTATATGTGGGCTTGAAAACATTTTCATAACGAAGTCTTCATGCCTCCTTGGTGTTACTGGTAAATTCCCCTAAATATTTGAAGGAGATAATTAATACCAACACAAATTCTTTCACAGACCAGAGAAAGACTGCATACCAACTTATTTTATGAGGCTAGCATAACACTGATACGCATATCAAGAATATTATTTAAAAAAGAAAAATTATAGGCTAGTATTTCAAAAGAACATAGAAAAAATCCTAAACAAAATTTTTACATATTAAATTTAGTGATACTTAAAAAGAATAATGCAACATGAACAGGTAGGGTTTATTATAAGAGATCAAGGTTGACTAAACATTAAAACAGTTAATAAACTTACTTACCAGTTGACAGAATAAAAGAAAAATACCATAATTTTATTATCTTAGTTGATAAAAAATTGACAAAAATTCTCCACTTTATGATTTAAAGAAACGATGTTTTTTATGTGATTTTTACATTCATTCTAATTATGCCCTTATATTTAAAGTGTGCCCCTTGTAAACAACATGTAGTTTTGGTCTTATTGTTAATAATGATGTTTTTTAAAAATCCAGTCTGACTATTTTTGTGTTTTATTTGAACTGATTTTTTTTTTTTACATTTAATGTATTTGTTGGCATATTTGGTGAATATTGCTGTTTGAGTTTTGAAAGTGTTATATACTTCTTTTTTTCATTTTTGTTTTCCTGTTTTCTTTTGGATCGATCATGTATATTTTAAATTTTCCTATCATGTTTTTTCTCCTCAGCATTTAAAAAAATATATTTTTTTAGTGGTTCTCATCACCATTTCAGTATGCATGCATGTTTGGCTGTAGTCTGCCTTGGGTTCGTACACTCCCAGAGTAATCCAAGAACCTACTTTGTAACCACATTTACCCTTTGTACTCTTTTGTTGTTTTTGTCATATTTTTACTTTATGTATTATCGTCTGTATACTTTGTAATGCTTAGAGCTGACTGTATTTCTTCAATCTTTAAGTCGGTACCTTTTATCACTGTATTAGTTTTATATTGCAGTGTAAAAAATATCGCAAACCAGCCTGGAAAAGGCAAGTAGTGGGTTATTTCCAAGAGCCCGTAGAGAGAATATAGCCCTGCCACCACCTTGATTTCACCCCAGTAATACTGATTTTGGCTTCTGATCTCCAGAACTGTGAGAGAATACATTTCTGTTGTTTTAAGCCACCTAGTTTGTGATAGTTTATTACAGAGTCACAGGATGCGAATACAGAAGTGAATTGCGTGATCCTATGGTGATTCGATGTTTAACGTTTTGAGGAGCTGGCAGACTGTTTTTCCAAAGTAGTTGTACATTTTATATTTTTTTCCTTGTCATTGGGGAATCATTGAGGGTACAAAGATCCAGGTTACACTGCTTGCATTTGTTAGGTAAAGTCCCTCTTATAATTGTGTCCCACTCCCAAGAGGTGTGTCACACACCATGACCTCCTACCTCCTTCCCTTTTTCCCTGTTTCTGCTCCTCTATTTCCCTACCCCCCACCATCAATTGTCTTCATATCAGAATTGAGTACTTTGGGTTCTTTTCTTTTTTTTTTTTTTTTTTTTTTGCAGTTTTTGCCCGGGGCTAGGTTTGAACCCACCACCTCCAGCATATGGGGCCAGTGCCCTACTCCTTTGAACCACAGGCACCACCCAGTACTTTGGATTCTTGCTTCTCCATTCTCATGATGCTTTACTAAGAAGAATGTGTTCCACCTTCGTCCAAGTTAATACAAAAGATGTAAAGTCATCATTGTTTTTAGTGGCTGAATAGTTTTCCATATTATACATGTACCTCAGTTTATTAATCCATTGGTGGGCATTTAGGTTGTTTCCACAATTTGGCAATTGTAAATTGAGCTTCACTAAATAGTCTAGTGCAAATATCCTTAAAATAAAATGGTTTTTTTTTTCTACTGGGTAGATGCCCAGTAATGGGATTGAAGGATCAAGTGGGAGGTCTAATTTGAGTTCTTTGAGGATCCTCCATACTTCCTTCCCAAAAGGTTGTATTAATTTGCCATCCCACCAGCAGTGTGAAAGTGTTCCCTTTTCTCCACGTCCACACCAGCTTTGAGACTTTGTGATGTGGACCATTCTCACTGGGGTTAGGTGATGTATGTTCTAACCACTATTGTATGAGGGTTCCAGTTTCTCCAAAATCTTGTTCACACTTGTTATGTTTATCTCTTCGATTATAGCTATCCTAGTAGGTGTGAAATGGTATTATCATTTGGATTTTTACTTATCTAATAAGTAATAATGTTTAGCATCATTTTATGTGCTTAGTGGCCATTTGTATTATCTTCACAGAAATATCTTTTTAAACAGTGGTTCTCAACCTTCCCAATGCTGTGATCCTTTAATACAATTCCTCATGTTATGGTGACCCCCAACCATAAAATTATTTTCAAGGACCACTGTATTTAAAGCTTTTGCTCATTTTTTAAGTGGATTATTGGTACTGAGTTATAAAGTTTTGGCTTTAGTTCTTCCATTGGATCTGTGATGTATTTGAGTTTATTTTTGTATATTATATGAGGTATGGACATAATCACCTATGGAGATTCTTGGTGATGACCTCTTCAAATGTTGTTTCTGCTCATTCTGTCTATCTCCTCGTCCAACTTCGTGCACACTAGATGTTTCGATTGTCTTACATTATCTCTTATCATCTTTTCTGTTTCTTCCTTTCTTTTTTTTAAAATTTATGCTTCAGTTTGGATATTTTCTATTGCTCTGTCTTTAAGTTCACTCACCCTGTCTCAGCTTCCTCTAGTCTACTGTTTTATTTATCCTGTCAGTTTTTAATTGGAGGTGTTATGTTTTCACTTTTGAAAAGTCTCTTTGGTTCTTTGTTTTTATTACTCCATTTATTTGAATTTTTTAAATCCATTTCATACCTCTTTTTCTCTATTTCATTTAGTATATAATCTTAAAGTTCTTATCTGTTAACTGTAGCATTTGGAGCAAATCCTGGTTTTCATAGATTAATTTCATTATTGCTTCTGTATTTTAGACTCTGTGGATATTTTAAAAACCTAGGCTTTGGTTTTAGCATAGTATTAACAACTTACAATAGGAAGAGGGAGAATGGAATACAGTAGGCACTAACTAGCTCTTTTTTCACAAGGCAGTGAGGATTTTTTTTTTTCTGTGACTGCCTATATCATGTGCTGATGATTCAAGATAGAACAATACCATTAAAAGAGAGATCAGTTTGACATAAGTGATTAGTAGAATATTGGGCATATATGTGCCTTACATGTTGATTTAACTTGTAAATGTGGAGATAGGCACTGAGCTAAATATCTTCAGAGAGTGATAATTATCTTGGTATTGTGGCTTAGTAAGTATGGCTAAGATCTATGCCGTTTACCATAAAGTATTTATTTGTATTTATGATCTCATATAGCGTGTGAAGTATTTCTCTGTGTTTTGATGTTGATACATGATTAAAGGTAGTTTTAGTGCATGAGTTGGTGAGAAGCTTTTAGTTTAGTTCCTAATAAAAGTGTCATTTCCTGCACATTCATCATTTAATTCATAGGAAAAATATTCAGAGTTCAGTAACTCTTCGAGAGTCTTTCTCCTAAGGATGATAAGGTATTAACCAATAAAAACCATTTGTGTTTCCTTTGTTATTCTGAATAGTTTCTCGGAGTCAATTATGATCCCGATGAGGATCCTGTAATTGTATTGTACTTTATTTCCTCAATTCTGTATACAGTGTGTACACTTCTTTGTGGAGTGCTCATTTTCTTATCTTTTTTTTTTTTTTTTTTAAGAACACGACTTGATGAACTGAGAATGTTCTTAGAGAATGAGACTTGGGAACTTTGTCCTGTTAAGTCAAATTTCAGCATCTTGCAACTTCATGTAAGTGTTTCCTGAGAACAAGAAATCTGTGTTTTAGACATCTGTTATATCTTTTTTTAAAAAAAATCCACAGATAATTTACATAATAGTTAGATTAAGTACAGTGCCTTATCTTCCTTCCTTGAAAATCATTAATAGCAATCCTCTTTTACAAGAATAATCCTTTCATGGACGTGAAAATCTCTTCTTAGAAAATTCAGTTAGCACACTACAAGAAAGCTCTTACTTAAAGAGTCCTAGTTAAAACGATTTCTTTTTGTTTGTATACAGAAGAGGCCCTCTGCTATATTTAAATTTTGCAGAAAATTAGTTATATTTTGCTACTGTTTAATAAAAATGCTTATTTATATTTGCACAATAGTTGTCAATTCTTTTTTTTTTTTTTTTTTTTTTTTGAGACAGAGCCTCAAGCTGTCCCCCCTGGGTAGAGTGCCGTGGCATTACAGCTCACAGCAACCTCCAACTCCTGGGCTCAAGCGAGTCTCTTGCCTCCGCCTCCCAAGTAGCTGGGACCACAGGCGCCCGCCACAACGCCTGGCTATTTTTTGGTTGCAGCCGTCATTGTTGTTTGGCGGGTCTGGGCTGGGGATTCAAACCTGCCACCTTAGGTGTACGTGGCTGGCGCCTTAGCCGGTTGAGCTATAGGCGCCGAGCCAATAGTTGTCAATTCTTAAAGGGACTAAGAAGTTCCTACTTTATGCTGCGATTTATAAATTTACTTATAATGAGAAAATGCCTCAGAAATAAAAGAGGTACTTCGAAGAAATACACTTAACTAATTTTTATTAGTTAATTGAGTCTTTGAACCTTATAGAATAAACAATCTGTGAAAAAGTATTTACGTTAGTTTGATTTTTCCCTTGATTGAAACACATTGTAGATAAATATTCCTGTGTGACAGATTTTGTTCTATAAATACCAAACGTCAAAATGCAATACATATACTTAAATCCCTGTTTAAAGAATACAGTGTGTTTTGTTTGTGCCTTTAGAAGGAATGGCTTTCTAGAAGCAATTTTCTTATTCTGGATAAACATAAAGAACATAGAAGTTACTTTGATAGAGATTGTCTTTATACTCATCTTGTACAATAGCTTCTTTTCTAGTTCTATCTGATTGCTTTCCTAACGTGGAAATATTAAAAATACCAAAACATGTTGATTAAAAAAAATGCTTTAAAGATAGCAAAATTAACATTAATTTTAATTAGCATTAACAAAATACCAGTTAACATTAACATTCAATTTAAGAATTCTAAAAGAACCAAGATAATTACAAACAGTATTTAGAATTCTAAGTTTAGGTGGTGCCCGTGGCTCAGTGGGTAAGGTGCCGACCACATACACCAAGGCTGGTGGGATCGAACTCGGCTCAGGCAACAATAACAACTGCAATAACAACAACCAAAAATAGCTGAGCATTGTGGCAGGCACCTGCAGTCCCAGCTACTTGGGAGGCTGAAGCAAGAGGATTGCTTAACCCAAGAGTTGCAGGGGTCCTCAAACCTTTTAAATAGGGGCCAGTTCACTGTCCCTCAGACCATTGGAGGGCCAGACTGTGGGCCCCAGGATGAGTCGGCTGCTAAGCAAGACAGGCAGCGGCAGCAAAAACACCCGGCAGGCTGGATAAATGTCCTTGGCAGGCTGCATGTGGTCGATGGGCTGTAGTTTGAGGATGCCTCGTTCAGAGGTTGCTGTGAGCTGTGATGCCATGGCACTCTACCCAGGGTAATAGCTTTAAATTCTGTCTCATTAAAAAAAAAAAAAAAAAGAATTCTAAGTTTAACGTCAATTTTAGAAGATCAATTTAAATAATTTTATTTGAATTTTTATTTCACCATCTAATTGCGTATATATGTTGGCTCACATAGTCGGTGTAACTTTTTGTAACAAAAAAAGTTTTGCAACTTTTTTTAAAGGCACTTTAAAACATTCCCATCCAGGTGAGCCTTATTTCCTGTAAAGTAGTTACCTCTAAAGCTATTCACAACTTAGCATTTATTTGACACATGTATTCCTGTAGGTATTATTTTTTTAAAATTTGCCTCATTAATTATCTTTTCCACTTGTTTAGAATTGTAAAAATAATAGCATGATTGTTAGGCTTTAATGATGGATTTTATTTAATGTATAGTTGAAATTTAAAAGGAAGAGAAACATATAATGCTGCTTAATAGAGTATGTCAATGAGCTTTTAAGAATTTAAAGAGTACCTTTTAAGAACATCATTATACTTTTTAAAAATATCATCAAATATGAAAAAATTTAAAGTTAAAATTAATATTAAAAATTTAAGAGTAACATTTTAAGAATATCATTGCATATGAAATAATTTTAATTGGGGATTATTCTTTTTAGATATGAGGAAAATGCTTATTAAATTTTTTGTCATAAATTATTAAATGAAGAGTTTTGTAATTCAGAGGCACTTTAGCAATTTCATCTTTTCCTCTAGGTCTCTATGTGATGTTGAACTTGGCCTGAAATCCTTTTAGACTGCTTCAGTTTCCTCATCTAGCTAGGACAATGACTTGGACAATGACCCTTTACCTTTACAGTTTGTAGTTCTGTCAATCTGATTGCACCTCTCATTTTACAGGAAACTGAAGCATAGGGAAGCCTAGTGTTTATGTAGGGAGTTACTGGTATGTAATGAGCTAATCGAAGGCTAGGAGGAGGACACTGAGACTTATCACCTGCCTCAGCATGTGGGTCTGTGTTGTCTGCTTCTTGGTATGTAAAGAAAAGTTAATGAAAGTTTATAGGCATCAATATAACAAAGAAAGATCTATACTCATGCTTTATTTTTGATGTATTTGTAGAGATTATCTTAAATGGTGAAAGGATATAAGTAAGCAGGATGTTTGACTCAATAATTAGTTTTCTCAAATGACTTTTGATTAAAATTGTATCCTACTAAGACTTTTATATTAAAATATTTTAGAAGACATTCAGATTTCTTGTGATTTTTAAAAATTTTCTGTGCAGTTCCTTATGGTAAGTCAAAAGTAGCTTGAGGCAAATGACACTGTTTTAAGTGACAGCACTGGCTGGGTTGTCTTTAAACATGCCATTTCCAAGTTTATGCTTTCAGACAGTGTGCAAGATTTAAAAGTGAATAGCCTGAAGAGGAGGATTTTCTTTTCCTACTAAATCTACATTTACATTGATGGAATATATTTATATGCTTGAATTTTATTGTTGTTGTTCAAAGGTATCTTGCTTCTTTTTTTTGATGTCTAGGAATTTAAATTCATGGAACAATCTCGTTCCCCATCGGTTTCACCTAGTAAGCAACCAGTCTCAACATCTTCAAAAACAATGACTTTGTTTGAGCAGTACTGTAGTGGTGGGAATCCATTTGAAATTCAGGCCAACCACAAAGATGAGGAGACAGAAGATGTGTTGGCTTCTAACGGGGTACGTGATGTTTTAAAAACATATTGTGAAACATGAAGTTTTTTTTTAAATATGTTATACTCAGTGAGAAAGGTAAATTGCTAGGTTTACTTATCTGCCATCCTTCTTCCTACCTATATATTTAGGGTACCTATGATGTTACTTGTATAGACAATGACTTTACAGTATGCTTTGTTCACAGCGTCCTCTTAAGCAATGTTGGCTTTGTGTTCTTACTAGATTATATTCTTAATGGATTGCTTAAGTAGTAGTAGTGTAGTTTCCTCAGTGACTATTAATATGATAGATTGTGTAGACGGATGGGTGAGGGAATAGAGATCATCAACACTTTTTCTTGACTCCATTCCTGGGTAACTAAGTGAATCATTTTGTTTTGAGTCCCTTTGTCTACGAGAGGGTGTGTGTCTTGCTTAGTTGCTTGGCAGGGATGTTTTTAGAAATTAGTAGTATAGTGATGTTTTGTTTTGAAACAGAGTCTCAGTCTGCCCTGGGTAGAGTGCTGTGTTATCCTAGTTCACAGCAACCTCAAACTCTCAGGCTCAAGTGATCCCTTTGCCTCAACTTCCCAAGTAGCTGGGACTACAGGTGTTCACCACAATGCCTGACTAGTTTTTAGAGATAGAATCTCCATCTTGCTCAGTCTGGTCTTAAACTCCTGTGCTCGAGTAATCCACCTGCCTCAGTCTCCCAGAGTGGTAGGATTACAGGTGTGAGCTCCCACGCCCAACTTAGTAGTATGGTGTTTTAACAGTACTTTGAGTAGTTCAGAAATAATACTAAGTAGAGATAGTGTGAGTTAGTGGAAAGAGTCTGAACGGAGACTATTAACTTTATTATTAGCTGTGTGACCTTTGGTAAATTATTTTAATTTTGTGACCCTTTTTTTCCCATGTTTATAGTGAGGGAGGTGGCTTCTTCACAGGTGCCTGTAGAGTGTTTTCACAAGATTTCTTTTTGCCTATGATGTCATTTGATGGGTTCTTCTGATTTTCATAATTTCCGGAGTGATTCAGTATGATTTTTATTTTAGACTTGATGAAGGTAACCTAAAAACTGTTCAGATCTAACAAACATCTGTTGAATTTTTCTCTGTATTTTAGTTTTTGAATTTCTTTTTTGTTTAATGAACATACATATATTTAAAAATACTGCCATGAAAATATACCACCACGTTTTATCATGAAGTTTAAACTATTTCATAGTAAACCATATTTAAATTATGATTCAGTGATTCTGTGACATTTTGTTTTTATGAAGTAGACTAAACTGAAAGGAATCAAAAGTCATTCCAATTATTTGGAAATAATATATCCCATATAATTGTGATTCATTTAGTAAAACTTACATAGCATTTAATTCTTTTTATTCGCAGCAGTGTATTCCGTAAAATTGCCATGAACACTGAATTAGCAAATACTGAACTATTTCTCCTAGGGGAAATAAATGATTAGGTTCCCGTGAGCCTCTGTTCACAACTTTCATTAACCAGCCAAACCTTGTTTTATGTGCGTTTCTACTTAAAACCGTCTATTTAATATACAGTAGAACCTCTGCAGTTGACATCTCCCTACATTGACCACCTCCTTAAGTTGAGTCTATTTTCATAGACTGAGCCTGCACCACAAGTACATATCAGTACAGTAGACCTAGTTTCTTATGTTGGCCACCTCTGTATGTTGGCTACTTTGTTAGAGTTCATTGGGTGGTCAGCTTGCAGAAGTTCCACTGTATATTGTTGATTCATTAACATTGAACTCATGGCCAGTAGTATTACAACTCACACCTAAATGAAACTTACTTAACACACGTATTTTCTTCAAAAGGTACATCCCAGCTGCCTTCCACTTAAGAAACATTAGCACTTCAGGCTCAGGGGCCATTCTAAATAGCAAAATCGCCAAGAAAAAGCCCCCAAATTCAGAGTGTGTGGTACTGAATAGACCATGAAAAGGATTTGTGTTTACAGTATGAGAGCTGAAACAAGAAGACAGGATATCACTTTCTTTGCCTCCAGCTAGGGACGTACATATTGGTTGACTGAATGACCACAAGAGCATCATAAATATTGACTTTGGAATTATAAATAAATTTTAGTGAGGGGCAAATTTGCAGATATTGTGGGTATCTACTCTGCTGTGGAACCATGAAACCGTGTTGTTATAACCAGGAAACTCTAGACTGTGGAACAGCTTTCTGCGTGTCATCAGGATCACATTGTCAGTGCAGGAGAATGCCTGTAATACTTGTTTTCAGTTATTAATATGTGATCTGATCTTTCTAGGTACAATCTAAGTCCTGAGAGTCAAGGTCTACATCTAAATACAGCCTGTCTTAGTGTTTTTTATTAATAGACTCTCAAAAAAATAGTTGTTGAATGAAGGGACTAACTTCTTTCCATGTCATCATGGTTTCCTCAGCTGTCATTTGGGGAAGAAGTTTCTTCATAGAATTATTTTTAGGATTAAATGAAATAATTCATGAAAGCACTTGGCACAGTACTTGGTTTAAAGCTCAATGCATGGGGTGGCGCCTGTGGCTCAGTGGGTAGGGCGCTGGCCTCATATACCGAGGGCTGCGGGTTCAGGCCTAGCCCCAGCCAAACTGCAATAAAAAAAAAAAAAAAATAGCTGGGCATTGTGGTGGGTGCCTGTGGTCTCGGCTACTTGGGAGGCTGAGGCAAGAGAATTGCCTAAGCCCAGGAATTGGAGGTTGCTGTGAATTGTGTGATGCCACGGCACTCTACGGAGGGCACTAAAGTAAGACCTTGTCTCTACCAAAAAAAAAAAGTTCAAAGCATGTTAGCAGTTATTTAACTCTAGTGATCTATAACATTAATTGATGGTGATGATAATGAATAATGCTGCCACTGCTTTCCCTGCTGTGCACAGTCCACTGTCCTGCCCCAGGCTGACATTGGGCTGTGGGACCATAAAGTTGATAAAACTATTTAAAAAGTATTTGAAATCCTGGTAAATCCACCATTTTTGACTTTGCTCTTCGTAGGTCCCTGGGTGCTAAGCCTAATTTTCCAAACTGCCCTTGGAATTAAATTCTCATAATGAATTAGATAGCCCATCGCATATGTGTTACATGTGTTTATTCTGCTGAATTAATATGCTTACTTCCAGAGTGCCAGAACTGGATACTAAACTCTTTTTTAATGAATTAGCAAATTGGAAATAAGTACAAGAAAACCTAGGGGAGACTTTATGTAAAAAAAAAAATCAAACGTACATTCTTTTCCTCTTGTTAGATCTAGTGAGGGTGCTTGTTTTGTTTCTTTTTGTTTGTGGAGATTTTGATTTTGTTGGACATTTACCTAGTACAAGGTTTATAGGAATACCATTTTCATTTTATCGTGCTTTTCTTCTGAGTTGGCTCAGGTAGGGGATGAAGAAGGAAATGGAAGGATAATATTCTTGGTAGCAAAGTTAAAGCTAAATTACTAAGAATTTTCTGATACTTGGCTATTTCTTATAATATCGGGTACTTTTATTGTGTTGAAAGGTCTCAGGGAAGGCAGCTCTTTATACGCATTGTCCTGTGTTCTCTTTAGTATGAGTCTGATGAACAAGAAAAGAGTGCCTATCAGGAGTATGACAGTGACAGTGATGTTCCTGAGGAACTCAAGCGAGATTATGTAGATGAGCAGACAGGCGACGCACCTGTGAAGAGGTAATTGTTCTTACACTGTGTGGTGTTCAGCACGTTATTTTGTGCTTTTACCATCTTGTGAAGGTTAAGAAAAAATAAGAATCAAATGTTCTTGGTGGTTATAGAGTCACATGATAGAAGTTTATGTTTTAAAAAATGTTTTCTAGAAACCTGAAAATGTAGCTTTTTCCTTCTCTAGGACAATGAATTTTCTAGTAAAATGAGATAGTTATATGAAAAGTCCTACTTAGCAAAACCTTTATTGGCATTTCACCAATCAGTTCATTTAATGGTGACTTTGGATTGTTACTGTGTCAAAAAAAAATTGGTTTGGCCATTTAAAAATTTTTAAATGACTATAAAGCAGTTTTAAAGTAGGTTTTTTTTTTATTTATACAGTTTATTTGACATTTTTGCAGCAAGATTCTTCTTTTTCTTTTTTTCTCTTTTTTTCTTTTTTTTTTTTGAGATAGTGTCTCACTTTGACGCCCTTGGTAGAGTGCCATGGTGTCATAGCTCGCAGCAACCTCACTCTTGTGCTTAAGCAATTGTCTTACCCCAGCCTCCCAAATAGCTGGGACTACAAGTGCAGCTACAATTCCTGGCTATTTTTAGAGATGGGGTCTCACTCTGGGTCAGGTTGGTCTCGAACTCTTGAGCTCAAGTAACCTACGTGCCTCAGCCTTCCAGAGTGCTGGGATTACAGGCGTGAGCCACTGCGCCCAGCCTCTAATTTCTTTTTTATGGTGTTAGAAACTTAGTTATGTTTTCAGCTCTTTTAAAAATTACTTTATTATTTTGATGACTATAATAGGCTTAATCAAAGGGGTTTTAATATATAGACATGTACAGTTTTTCTTTTCTTTTCTCTCTTTCTTTTTTTTTTTTTGCAGTTTTTGGCCAGGGGCCCGGGTTTGAACCCGCCACCTCCAGTACACGGGGCTGGCGCCCTACTCCTTTGAGCCATAGGCAACGCCGAGATGTACAGTTTTTGCAGGAGGAAAAGAAACTTTGGATTTATAAAATTAATGGATGTACAGATTTTGCAGAAGGAGAAAAACGTTTAGAAATTTAATGTTGATTGTTGTGACAATTTATGCTTTACATATAGCAGACAATCTGAAGGAGGAAAGTAGTAATTTCTTCTGTATGCTGAATAACTTACTGGCTTATTACTTGATAACCTTAATTGCAATTCTGTTTTATTTTTCTATATTAAGTGTTTCTCGAGAAACCCTAAAAAGCAGGAAGAAATCTGATTACAGTCTAAATAAAGTGAATGCACCTATTTTAACAAATACAACATTGAATGTAATAAGACTTGTTGGTAAGTGGCTATATGTTTTCTTTAAAAAAAAAAAAAACAGTATAAGCAGTTAATTACTGTACTTTTGTTACTGAATGATTTTATTTGAGGTTTCCATTGAATGATGGTGTCCAGCACAGTGGAGGGTTTAAGATTATCATATGGCATTGCTTCCCACCTTAAATGTTCCAAATAGTATAATACTGATAACAATGTCAATTTCAGTTATTTGTTTATTGTTAACTCTTTGTATCTTTGTATCTTCCAATTTTTCTAAAATATTTCAGTTAATTAAAACATGATGAAAAATTTGCTAGCTAAGTTAGAAGTACATACATGTAGAATAATGATGGTAGCAGTTTCATATTTATGCACTGTTTTTCTATCTGTTTAAAAGATCTTCATAATCTTCCTGCCAGTTAGGCAGAGTGAATAGTGATTCTCTGGCATCTTCAGACACAGGGTTTATAAGCTAAATGTTCAGATCATAGGAAGTTTTGTTCTTTTAACAGATAAGACCTTGGCTCGGCACCTGTGGCTCAAGCGGCTAAGGCGCCAACCACATACACCTAAGGTGGCGGGTTCGAATCCCCAGCCCGGGCCCGCCAAACAACAACAATGATGGCTGCAACCAAACAAATGGCCAGGCGTTGTGGCGGGTGCCTGTGGTCCCAGCTACTTGGGAGGCAGAGGCAGGAGACTCGCTTGAGCCCAGGAGTTGGAGGTTGCTGTGAGTGTGATGCCATGGCACTCTACCCAGGGGGATAGCTTGAGGCTCTGTCTCAAAAAAAACCAAAAAACAAAAAACAAAACAAAACAGATAAGACCTTTATTGATGATTTTGTAGAAGGCAAACAACATAAAGAAATGCCATTTTAAATATTCAGGTTTAATGATGATGTGAATTTATTAATGTCAGTATTTCAACATCTTATGAGTGTTCAGCCTTTATATCATGCAAATAGGTCTGTGTATTTGCTAGGTTAGGTGAGGAGATGTTATCTTGCATTAATTTTCATTTATACCAATCAGGAATTGTAGAGGTTCTTTGTAAAATCTTTATATTCTGTTTATGGGGATGGTGTTTATCTATTTCCAAGTTTGATTAGTCTGAGCTCTGATAAAATGGTCTGTGTGTGTATAGTTTTTTTGTTTGGTTGTTTTTTTTTTTTTTTTTGAGACAGAGTATCAAGCTGTTGCCCTAGGTAGAGTGCGGTGGCATCACAGCTCACAGCAACCTCCCACTCTTGGGCTTAAGCGATTCTCTTGCCTCAGCCTCCCAAATAGATGAGACTACAGGTGCTTGCCACAGTGCCCAGCTATTTTTTGGTTGTAGTTGTCATTGTTGTTTGGTGGGACCGGGCTAGATTTGAACCCACCAGCTCTGGTATATGTGGCTAGCGCCCTAGCCACTTGAGCTACAGGTGCCGAGCCAATGGTCTGTGTTTTTTAAAGTAATTTATAAATTTCATTAATGAATAGGATAAAATATACAGAATACTTTTTAGGAGTCCTCCTTTGTTTATAGCAAAACTAGCTAATAATGATTTGAGAGGAAAACAAAAGGTATATATTTTTGAGACTCACAAAAAACCGACATATTTTAAAAAGCTATTCTGTGCCTAATTATTGCCAGGGAAATTAGATTTTCTTTATCCAAGAGAGCCTACTGATCATAGTATCATGAATTACTCTTCAGAGTTTATAGAGTCAGAATTGGAAGGATGTTGAGAGATCATTTGGTATAAATTTCCACAAAAATAGGTTTTTTTCCCATAATGTCTCTTAATATTCAGTGGCCAACTAGCCTTTGTTTTATGACTCACAGTCATTGGAAGCATATTATTTTGCAAGACTACTCATTCTACCTTTAGACTGATCTAATTGGCAGAAATCTCTTCCCTACAGTAAATCAAAATCTGTCTCTGTAATTCTGTTGCTCTTGTTTCTGCCCTTAAAAGCAAAATGAGTAAGCCTGCAGTTTTTTTCTCCTGTTCTTCCAAGTGGTCATTTTTCAGATACTGGCGGTAGTTATACTGTCCTTGCTTTTCTTATATCCCCACCCTCTAATTTATTTTTCAGGCTCAGTGTGTTCAGTTCTCTTATCTGGTCCTTAGTGATAGAAACTCCAGAACTTTCGAAGTCCTTGTCATCCTCCTTAACTTTCTAGACGTGGTAGTTTTCAGTGTCTGAATACACTACTTGAGGTATAATTGGATGTGCTCAGCTTTTGCTAGATTTTGTTGAAGAAACAAACAACCCTGATGTATCAATGACTTTCAGCAATGAGGTTTCATTTTTCACTTGTGATATGTGTAGTCTACTGGTCTCTGTAGTTCTGCTCCATGTGTCTCTTTATCCTGAGGTGCAGGTTGAAAGGACAGTATAAGGATAGCACCTGGAACATAGCGAGAAGAGCAAGAGCTGAATTATATTTTGACTTTTAAAGTTCTTCTCCAACATGACACCCTTGATGTCCTCTGACATGTCCTGGCCAAAGCAAGCTAAGTTTGACAGTGGGGGAGAGAAGATGTTTCTATCCTAGGAATCATTGCAGTTGAGAGTGAAGTGGTCAGGGATGTATGATACCTGGAGGGTGGGCAAAGTGGAGCAGATAATTGGGTAAAGAATGTTATCAACTATATCTAAGTAATTTTTTTTATATTTTTTTGCCTTGCCAGTTCAAAAGAAACTAGAGGTAGTCATATTGTTTTTTAGTCTAAAAGGCATAGAGGCAGTAGAATCAAATCAAACACAATGTAAGGCGAAGACAAAATTGAGGCGGGGGAACATCGTGTTTTATCATATATTAAATGCAATCAAAATGCAATTCAACTTCTTGGTGTGGGCATAAGGAATTGAAGAAATATTATATCCCACTATTCTTATTGTTTAAGAAAAGGATACTTGGCTGTTGAAGAAATACTATATCCCACTATTCTCCTTGTCTAAGAAAAGGATGCTTGGCCGTACAGCAATGCTAGAAATGTGTTCCTGGTGCTAAATTCAGAAGTCACAACAAATTCTCATGGAAGCACTAGTGATCAACGTTGTAATGATGTTGTTTATAGTAGTATCTAAAGGAGGGCGTAGTTCTGAATAAAACCTTAGTCTGTGAAGAGAATCTGGCCATTGTAATTTCACCCTCCTCCACCACCATATCTTTTACTGGGGTTGCAATTAGGAGACAGTGCTGAGTATGATAATTGAACTTTCTTCTCATTTAGGGCTGGAATTAGGTGCTGCCATTATATCCGTCTCCTCACAGTAAACATTTAGGCCTATCACTTTCTCTCTCCCTGGGAAGACTTTATCTTCAGTTTGTGCATATTCATTAAATAGAACTTTAAGGCAGCCATTTACTCAGAGGTCTCGGACTTAGTACGATTTCACCCCCTGTTGTCATTGTATAGAGGTACCTGAAGATTATAAACTGGTGCAGGTAATGCCTCTTCTTACTGTGGGAGAAGTACAATTGTGTGAATAAGATAAATTTTTGGTGCGGGGGAAGATGAAGGAACTAATTATTGAGTAGTTGGGAAACACATTTTAGAACATTAAAGGCATGGTCACAATATCCTTTTCAAATGGTACTTATTTGCCAGATAATTAGGAGAGATTAAACAAAAGACATTAATAGGACTTCCTTGCCCTGGGTGGTACCTGAATCTATTAGAAAGGCCCAGAGAGGCTTTCTGCTGTGAGAGAGGACTAATCAGAAGGCTTACTCTTGCAAAGAGAAAATCCTGTCAGCCTGATGATTTCCTGCTGATAGCCAGAGAATTTTAGCCTTGGTATTCAAGTTTGTGTCTCCTAGAAGCAGCTCTCACCTCAGCAGGTGTGATGCCTGAAGGGTAGGAGGTAGGTTGCCAAAAATCCATACTTGTAACTACAGACTTTAAACAACAACAAACACACACTAGCACATGAATTAGGATTTCAAATGAAACTAGAATATGTACATCTAAGGGACATTTGGCTCGGTGTAGTGAAGATGCAGCTTATGCAGTGGAGAGAACAGGGAAATGGGAGGGAGCAGCTCACTGCTTTGTTCATTCTTTTCATTGGGTCATTTATTTTATCATTGAATATTTTAAGTTAAAAGGTAATGTGTAAAAATAATTTTGAAAGCCCAAGATGTAAGGGGAGCCCCCTGAATTCCAAGTCTCAGTAGCGTCTCTCAGAGAAAACCAGTTAGGTTCCCCTGTTTTCTTTTTGGAATGATTAGTATCTATACCCAAGTATATTTAATATGTGCATCTTTTCTCCCCTGCTTTTTGCTGTTGTTTTTATTTGGTTCAAAAGTTTCCTCATGCTGTACTGTTCTTTATCTGATTTATTTTTTCTTTTTTTTACTTCAGATATCTTAAGGTTACACTTAAAATATTGTAGGATATTACGCATCTTAGTGTGCATAGGTCCCATTTTTTCATGGTCCCATTGTACGGATGTGCCATGATTTATTGTATACATCCTTTATTTTTGAACATTGAGATCAGTGGTTGTCAACCTGTGGGTTGTAACCCCTTTTAACAATGAAAATACATTGCGGCATTAGGAAGGTTGAGACCCACTGATTTCAAGATTGTTCTGAGTCATTTGATACTTCAGACTTCCACAGCAAAGATCCTTGAAGAAATATCTTCCCACATAAATACAGCTGTAAAATAGACTCCTAAAAAATGTTTCTTCCAGCTGGACCAAGGAGTATATAGATTTCCAGTTTTGATGGACATTCTCAGTTTATCAATGAAGTTACTAAAGAGCTTACCAAAGAGGTTCTGGCAGTTTACCCATTCATCAACAGTCTTTGGGAGCATCTCTTTTTCCTAGTCTCACAGCAACACTGTTTTATATAGCTTCAGATGCTTGACACTCTGATATGTTGAAAATGGTATCATTCAAAAATGTATTTAATTTTTGAGGTGAAGCATCTTTTCATATGCTTAAAAGATGTTTTTATTTACTTGTGAACTATTCACATATACTACTTCTTTCTTTCTTTTTTTTTTTAAACTTATTTATCGTTTTAAAGAGATGGGGTTTTGCTCTGTTGTCCAAGGCTGGAATGCAGTGGTGAGACATAGCTTACTACAACCTCAGATGCATGCGTTTAAGCAGTTCTGAGTAGCTGAGCCTATAGGCATATGCTACCAGGCCTGGCTTATTTTTGTATTTTTTGTGGAGAAGGGGTTTGCTGTGTTGACAGGCTGTGCTTGAACTCCTGGTCTCAAGTGATTCTCCTGCCTTGTCCCCCAAATGTGCCATGATTACAGGGGCGAACCACTGTATCTTTTATTGTGCATCTTTCTATAATAAGGAAATTTATAATTAAATTAAAAGTTATCTTTTACAGAAAATATTTTTATATATAATATTCAAGGAAAAAATTTATCATTCTCTTTCATTTAAATTACATTTCAGTATTTCTATATTAATAATGATATTGGGATATACCATAATATAATTATATTAGTAAGATAGTATATATTATTATATCATTTATATGTTTAGATGTATGTGTAACATGTTTAAACATGTTAGAAACATGTTAGAAATATTTTCTGAGTTGCTAGCTGTATAGACAGCATGATATATTTTGGGAAGATAATTCTTGAACCACCATTGCTCAGTACATGTCACAAGAAAATGACAGGGGAAATCTGGGGGGCTAAGATTAATATCCAAACACCAGAATGGAAACTGGTACCAGGCATTTAGTTAAGGGTTGGTCTTGGTAATTTTTTACTCTAGTCTTCCTTGTGTCGTATCTTTTCCTAAATTATTCAAGCTGAACTTTCTTTTCCTGTCCTTCATGCCTCATTTACAGCATTTCCAGTTTGCATTTATATATGCTCTGACGCCTTTCTATGCTGCTTCTATCCATTGATTTCTCACATTGGTGTATTGTGATAAGAATAGTGAGCATTCTTCTAACTCGGATTCTGTTCTTGCTCTAGTCCCATCAGATTGTAAGTTGTTATAGATGAGAAGAGACTCTGAATCATTTTTGCAGCATCTGTCTGTAGCACCCCACTAAGTGCTTTTTATTTTTTTAAGTGTCCATCCAATATAAGTTGGACTGATAAACCTTATTTTTAAAATCTTGAATATCGTAGAAGCCCTTTTTCTTCCCTTGTCATTATCCACAATAGGAGAAACTTCCCTTCATATTTCCAGTAATTGGATTATACATTCCTTCCTCTGTCCAAGAGATGTGGCCCAATGATTGATGAAACCCCTAGTCCTCTGAGCCACCTTTCATGTGGTAACCGTATTTCTCCCTGTGTCTCCCGCTGATGAGTGGGCTACGGCAGGCCCACTGCTCTTCTGTTTCTTGTTCTTGTCCATGCTACTTGAACTCTTTCCCCCCCTCCCTGCCATCCCTGTGTGTTTCTTCCTGTATGTTCCATATTTGGGATGAGATAGTTTAAACAGTCTTTCTCCTGTGAAGCTTTTTCTCATCTCCAGATTAGGTTACATTCTCTTTATATATTCTTCTCCCTACTGTGTTCATCATAATTATAATTACCTTAAAATAATAGCAGCAGCTTAGATTTCTTAGTTGTATATCACATGCTACACAAATCCATATCATATATATGCTGTTTAAAAATGCCACCTGCCTTTTGTCACAATATCCATTTTATATACCAAATAAATACCTGAAGCTGAGAGAGAGAATAACTTGCCTTGTATCACACATGTGTTAGGTAGTAGAACCCGGGCTGTCTTATCCCAGAGCCAGTTAGCTCTCAACTTTCTTCCATGCTTCACAGCCTGTGGAGGAAATCAAGAACATTAACTCTCCTTGCTAACGTTAATTATTCACAGATCAGAAAGGATACACTGTAGCTTGGAGGCAAGAATAGGAATCTCTTGCAGTTGGTAATTTGGGAAGGGATGCCTTTCTTGGTAATCTGTGCTGTATTAAATAACCTTTGTGTGTTCCCAAAGGAAGCCATGTCTGCTCATCTCACTGCCCTCTCCTTAGGGAACTCTGGAGGGGAGAAAGAAGAGATAGAGCACGTCTGAACCCCATCTTGAACCACCAATCACATTTTTTAAACTGAGCAGGCTAACTTGAGAGCCTTGCATTTATGTCTTTATCACGGTGGTACATCTCACAGTAACAGAGTAAATAGTAAGGAAGAGCTTGTGATGAAAAGCACTGCCAGCAGTGTGGAGGCAATTTCTCGGTCTGTTTCTAGTGTTCTTTAAGTTATTTCCCAGAAAAGGGTGATGAGAAGTAAATGTTTGAATTCGTGGCAGTCTGAAAGTGTCTTTGTTCTGCTCTTTTACTTGAATGACAACTTAGCTGTGAGTAGAGTTATAGATTAAAAATTATTTTCTTTAGAACTTTGAAACTTCTATTCATTCTGATCATTGGTGTTCATTCTCTTGAAAGTGAATTTTCTCTCTTTCTGTTTTGTGTTTCTCTGTTTCTCACTGAAAACTTTTGATACTTTTTCCTTGATGTTCTAAAATTCTATATTGATGTGTGTAGGTGTGATTTATTTTTCATTAAGTGTATTTGATAGTTTGTGGTCTCTTTTAGTCTGAAAGGTCCCGTGTTCCTCAGCTATGACTGATACTAGTATTTCTTTGACAATCTCCACCTTTGCATTTTCTCTAATCTGTTTTTTTCTTTTGATTTTCCCTTACTCAAATGTTTAGTCTCTTAAATTGATCCTTTATGTCTCATATTTTCCTCTAATGTTGTCCATATTTTTATCTCTTTGCTGTACATTTTAGGAGGTTTCCTTTTTAAATCTAATCTGCATGATCCAGCGTGTTCTAAGAGAATATATTTTAAATATTTTTAAAATGTGATTGTCGGCTCAGCACCTATGGCTCAAGTGGCTAAGGCGTCAGCCACATACACCTAAGGTGGCGGGTTCGAATCCAGCCCGGCCCGCCAAACAACAATGATGGCTGCAACCAAAAAATAGC